ACGAGTGAAATGGAAATTTAGATGATATCAGATTCAAACACTGTGGGAGAGAACAAACCAGACCCCAGCGGAAGAAGAAATTAGGATGAAGCGCTGGAAGTGGATTGAACACACATTGAGGAAAGTACCCAACTGCGTCACACGAAAAGCCCTCACATGGAATCCTCAAGATCAAAGGAAAAGAGGAAGGACAGAGAACACATTACGCCGAGAAATAGAAATAGACATGAGAAAAATGAACAAGAATTGGATAGAACTGGAAAAGAGGGCCCAGGACAGAGTGAGTTTCAGAATGCTGGTTGGCGGCCTATGCTCCATTAGGAGTAACAGGCGTAAGTAAGTAAGATTCAAGCACAGGATAAAACTATGTTAATTTGCTAACTATGAATTTGAATAGTTTTAAATATTGATATCCATAATTTGTTAAGTAATAAGGCCGGAATAAAAGTGATTACCTAATAGGTAATAGTAATGGACAAGGAATAGGCCGTTACATCACATCACACATAGAATATACGTTTTTGTTATGCCGGGAAAACAAACAAAAGCACTGATCACTTATATTCGTAACGAGGGACCTCGGCAATTCCCACGATGCGAAAGTAAGAACACAAGACTGGTATAAATGAAGATTTATTAGCCTCAAAACACTATGACGACGACAAATCGAATCTAGTCTAAAATACACTGGTTTATATATTGATGGTACACCCATTTTGATTGATAATTAGGATTAGATCACATACTCAGTTATAACAAATCATTTACTGAGCATAGTTCATATCAACTGAATACAAGAATGTCGTATATTATACAGAAGAGAATATCATGCTGGGAAAACAAATCAAATACTACATTGAATGATCCTCATGTTGAATCAAAACGGATTTAATGTTGAATAAAACTCATAATGAGTAATTCAATCGAAAATTGACTTTTCCTTCCATCATATCACAATTATACAATAAAAATATACGTTTAGTATTGGTCCATAAAGGATCCCAAAGTTACCATTCATTATGTTTCTCGGGTCCTAACAGTTTTGTTCATTACGAGAATTGAAATTATCGTTGTGTAGTAGTCAGTAGTTAACAAAATTAAATAAAACATCTGTTTAGCGTTTTACTGACATTTTAGCAGTTACTTAGCTTGAATATTCAAGAATAAGAATTCAATAATCATGGAGTAAGAATTACTGAGATTGGATAAAGAAAGCAAGTTGATTGATTAGTCTATTACCTCACATCATCTATATGGGCTAAAACATATGTCACGCCATTGTCATCTTGAACGAACATAAGAATAAGTCAGAGGAAAGCTTATGATGAGCTAAAGAAGACATAAGATCAAATCAAGCGGTTATCGACTTGTCGTCAGAGCAACTTCTTTTGCTGTAGACTGGCCAGTTGAGGCTCATGTAACAGTCGAAATATATGACTGATGACATTGAATCATACATTTTGAATTCGGTCTCAGTTTTATCGTCTTATTTATTCTCTATCTTACATTGTTCATGCTTCATTTTCATTTTGAACCACATTTCCCTCTTCTCATTTATTTACCATCATGTTCAGCTAATCTCAGAGTGTGGCTATTCGTATTGATTATAATGATCTACAATGATAATGTTGAATTTCATTTAATATTTTGAATAGAGTATAGTCTATTTTAAACAAAATCTTCAATATATATATGATCATAGAATAACGGTAGCTCAAGATATTTCAGAATTGTGACTGGCATTACATTTGTGGAACAAGAACTACAGTTTAACCATAGTTCAGTCTTTTGAATGATGAACAAAACCTAGACTATGCTAACAGTTTTAGATGGTGGTTGGAGGTAGTCAACAGGAAACCCTAGACCCGGGTTTCGTGCTACCTGGTACTCGTCAGCAAGGTGTTCCTGAAATCTTGTGAGGACTGGTGCTCCGTGGCGGACTCGATTTCATGTCACCCAGGTTCCTAGTCAGAGACGTTACCACTGAGCTATCCGAGCCGTGATTAACCACCTGTAGGACTGAGATGTAATCACAATTGATTAATCACTGGGTGGTGATCAATGTCGAGTCACCTAGACTGGTGGCAACATGATCGATAGCATTCGATCTGCACTAATAAGGACTAGACAAACATGACATTGATCACCACCGAGTGATCAATCAATTGTGATTATACTAACAGTTACATTTCAAATACATCCATATCATGTTTACATTAATTTCTCATATTTTGCACTAAAATTTAATATTCATTTTAGAAAAGTAAACTTCCTCTTAATTCTATTTCTCTCTTTGTTTTGATTTCTGTTGAGTCCTGGATACTCACTGCCTTCTCGTGTCGGGGGTGTTGTTTACGAAAATGAGTGGACGAAAAGCGAGTGTCCGGCGTTTTAACCGGAACCCAAACCAATGGTGCATATGGGCTTCAGGATCCTGCGGGAACAAATGGCGTATGAACCAATAGTTGGTCACCGGCTTCCATGGGACTGCATCTCCTAACGATGCTCCACTGCCATGTGGATCAGACCTTTAGGTCAAAGGCTCGGGTAGTGGCCACCTAAGAAAACCACCTGCTTCGGTTTGGGCACCCGTGGGGCTGTATCCCAGCCCTCACACATATCGAATGAGATTTGTGTGCCTCATATGTATTTGTAACAATATCTATGTGTTGAAATAAATAAATAATGAATTCCTTTTCGTGAATATTTGTCAGTCGAATTCTTCAAATCAATTTGAATTATCGTCCTAGCAACAAAATATTTGTATATATACACAAAAATGTGTGTACCCCATTTCTCAAATGTAACAGCATCCGATAGCTTAATTCAATTTTGTGAATTACACATGTGTTAATTCTGTTTTACTCCATTCATAGTTATTTCCTTCTTATAAAGTGCCTTTTTTTGTAGATTGTATCATGTTACTTACTAATATTCAGTAGCTTATGTCATTTTATCTTGTTTTCTCCTGTCGCTGAATTTAACATTGCTATAAAGCGATTTGTCTTTAATCGTATTTTCACACTTTTTAAAGGGTTTGAACACCTTTTTAACTGGATACTATTTTAAAGACAAATAATTTGTGTCCGATTTTGGATTTTATACGTGAATCAATCGTTTGATGTAAATTATTAAGTGGATTTTTTTTAAAAATAACTTGTCATATTCATTTTGTTCATTTAATCTATTCAGATTGCTCCATTTTGTGGTTGTAAACAACTGATTAATGTTATAAATTTTTCCCTGTGTCCTATTAATGTATAACGTAATGGAAATGCCAATTAGAGAACAGGGAATTATCGACCGGATCAAAGGACGCATAAAACCCGTACGTGAAGTCTAGAGTCCTTATCGGTCCTACTTTCCAATTTGCCCAGCTTTTTAAGTGCAGAACACTAATCTCATCTTCTGCGATATGAATAATTTATTTCAAGCATACTGGGTTTATATACAGACTAAACAGACCACATCGTACCATACAATAGAAAATAACATTTGTACAAGATTTAGCTAAATGTGACTGTGAATATGGGAGATAGTAATTGATAGACCAGACATAACTCAAGAATGTCAAATCATATAGTTCATAGGTCATAATAAAGCTTATGATAAGAGGAATGTGATTATGAATAGTTTAGTTACTTAACAACTATATGATAAAAAAATAGATATAGTATTAGTTCAGAAATAGATTCTAACAGTTATCATTCATTATTCTTATCGGGATATAACAATAAGAATCATTAATAAATACAGACAGATATTAAATAAGAAAAAGAGAAATCAGCGAAGAGAATTTTCTTTTCGATGAAATCATTTACTTAAGCTGTACATTCGTATATATATAGTTATATGGAAAGATGTATGTCTATAGAAGGATAGAATGGATTGTATCACAAAATATGGATTCGACAATAAATAACAAATGAGGTTAACGTACTAGACAAGGGGTAAGTTATCTGAGTCATTTATACTTTTCTATATTCCTTTTCATTAATAGATCCTCATATATTTTCCATTTGTTAGAGGTTCTATAATTAGAAATTAAAAAAATCTATGTTTACGAAAAGTAATCAGTAGTATATACATATTTATTCAATTTTTCTCATTAAGTTAATAGTAAATTAGAAAAGATTGAATCCTTCCTTGAAATTATACTAAATTGATTTACTTACAATGATGATATGGAACAAGTTAATTCAAGTTTAATATTTAATAAAAGATAAAATGTCATTTAATAACTTATCTATAACCAGTTATATTATCAAGAAAGGATCGATATAATGTCATTTCTTCTTTTTTTTTTACCACAATAAAACAGATACTCATGAAGGTACTATATTCACCATCCTCAACTGCTACTCCCCCCCCCTTTATCTAAGATTCGAAATGAAAAATAACTCATTCAATTTAATCTCTTGTTTAATTGAGTTACCATATCAACTGATCTCATATTTATCCTTTAATTATATCTATACTCATTATGTATATGTTGTGTCAATATGTGTTATTCAATTAGTTAAGTACATTTATATTAGATAACAGTTTCTATGATCCAATCATCTTTTTCTTCTTCTTCTTCTTCTTCTTCAAAAAAGACGTTTTTACATTTCAATATAATTTTGAATATTATTCGGTTATTTTGATGTTACATATACATATACATAAGATTTCTTAGTGAAACGCCCTTAATTAGTCAAGGTTCGAAATTCATGGAATCATTGGTTTTGGAATTGGATACACAAGACCTCCCTCTCTCTCTCTTTCTCTTTCGCACACACACACACGTACACAACGATAGACATGCATAAAGAAAAACTAAATCGAGTAGATAATTATTTTTTTTTTCTTATTCAATCTTCATAACGAATATTATCTTAGATGATTTAATCCTTTCAACTAAGGGAAACGATAAAACTGTTGGTACTTCCAGTTTGCTCTTGTGCATTATACCAATTACGTAACAGAATTTTACTATTGCTATCATTATATATATATAAATGGTATGTTTAGTATTGTTGTATTCTATTCATTGTTATAATGTAATGTATATCAGATCGTTGAAAACCCCAAAATGCTAGATTAGTGTTTTGAGCTAGAACAGAGCCATGCAATGGTGTGAACTTATAATCCGTAGGGAATAACCTCTCTCACCACCACCACCACCACCACGAATATCATATTTCTCATTATAGCATGATATTTTTTGAAGTGTTGCATTGCAGTTTATAAGATCTACATTTTAATGATTTTCAAGTCTATCCCCCTTTATGATGAATCATTATGAATCAATAATTTTGAGTAGTTACTAAGTTTAATAATACAAAGTCTCAGAGACAATATTAGTAAGCAGCATGAAACTAATGACTATCTATATAACATTTAGTTTTTTTCTGTTAGCTATAATATCAGTCGAAGTTTACACTTTCAAAGTACCTTAATTAAATCACCATTGGAAACCAAGAAACAATAGACACAATGTTAGATGCCAATGTCCGTTTGAATATGCTTGAGCTATTCTAGTGACTGATTGGTATTAGAAATATTGAGCGTTGAATACTGACTAGGAGTTAGACACAAGACCTGAAGTCCTTAGGTCCGATCATGGGTATGCACTGCCATACCATTCTATACATCTGATATGTCTAAGAGAGATGGTGTCATGATAATTATGATAACAATGATAAGAACTTCATGTGAATTGATGAAAATGGATGTGTATATTAACAATGAGTCAGGGCAGTAATAAACATAAAAACGTAATCAGTGATATCAGTTTATAATATTTACATACAACTACATAGGCCATAGTAAATAAAAATGATCATAAAAGTTAAATTTTCATTGGAATTAATCCTGATAACTTCAGCTTCATAGAAGAGAGGTATAGTCTTTCTAGCTGATATAAAACCAAGAAGATCACTTCAATTTTAATGTGGTATTCAAATTATATTTACTAGATGACAAAAAATGTTACTATTCAGTGATTGATGAATCCCTTTTCCTAATATTGTCAGTATACCTATATGAAAGTGTAAAGAGAAGGCTTTATAAATAGTTTATCCTTGTAAAATTTCCATATTTTTATTGTGAACAACATATATAAGCGAACAGTATTGTTTTCAATTAGATTCTCATCAGGTTTTACTCTAATATACAGTGATATTTATATGGATATACAAAACGATTAAACCAATCAAGGCAGTTTATGAGTCAATGATAACAGTAGAAAAGATGACATAATAAGTAAAGAGTATAAATTGATAGTGTAATGACAGGTGTACTAGTTGTAATAAGAATAATAAAGGCTTGAGTCAACGTTTCGTAATGGGAAGTAGGTGAATTGGTTGAAGTTAGACATTAACACCGTTGGATGCCGGCTCAGTGGTCTAGAGGCTGTGCGCTTGCGCGCGAGATTGATAGGTTCTGGGTTCGAGTTTCACGAGGCGGGATCATGGATGCGCACTGCTGAGGAGTTTCACAATAGGACGAAATGGCTGTCCAGTGCTCTGAGGTTTTCCACAGTGGGTTAGCTACAACTGACTCATAAATTCAACTATTCAAATAGGTCAATGATTAGAAAAATATAAACACTGAAATAACATTCATAAAAGATTACGTAACAAGAAGTGTTCAGATAATTGGACTATGAATCGTATATTTGAGGAAAAAAAGGAAATGGTAGAAGTGGGAATACGATAAACAACTTTAAATGATTTATTTCTGTCTACTACATGACCGCTATCGATCAAGTGTGATAGAACCGAGCGGCATGTTGTCTTGACAGTATCTTCTCCTAAAAACGAAGGAAGGTGTTCACTAACACTTAGAGTAAAGCCTGATAAGGATCTAATCGAAAACAATATTGTTCGCTAATATATGTCGTTTAATCCTTGCATCTCAATTTATAGGAGTAGTTTATATTAGCATACACACAATGAAGAATTTATTATCTTTTTTTAAATGGCTAATATCTATTTAATACATAGGTTTATCGGTCAGTCAAAGCTAGACCACCATGGAAAATCTGGAACCACTGGACGGCTGTTTCATCCTAGCATGGAACTCTTCAACAGTAAGCATACTAGAACGAAAAGGCCATTTCAATGCTTTCAGGTTTTCCATGATGGTCTAACTTTAATTAACTCAAGGCCGCCGATTAGAGGGCAGTGACTTATCGGTCGGATCAAGGATTCAGAGTCTCGATAGACTATTCTGATTCGTTTTCTCCTACTCAGCTAACTCAACCAAGAAGTCTTGGTAAGATGTAGAAAGTGTATTCTACAGGCAACCAGAAGATACCAGGTCAGGTCAATCAGGCACACGATCAAGCGTATTTATACAAATATATATGCATATATAATCGATTTTGCCATGGAAGTTTTTAAACATTTAAGCGATAAGTTCGTCAATCGACTATGTGTGTGGATGGTAAGAAATGCCCAAGCATACATGTGCATACCAGCTCGACAAAGATAAAATTACAAAAGATGAGTTTTGGGAATCTATCGTCTCCAATAAATTCAACTGTTAAAATTATTGCAATCTTCACAAAACCCACCTTCCTGATACTAATATCTATATTTCATTTATTATCAATTATAGCAATCTCAAGAAGAATTAAATTTAGATCAATTAATTGAAGTACTTAGTTATGATAAAAAAGATTTACCAATTGAATTAACTGAAAAAACTATTGCCAATAATCAACGTCAAGTTGGTAGTAGTAAAGCTAAAATTTTAATGGTAAATAAATTTGTTTTAAAATTTACTATTTTTTTTTGTTGTTGTATATATTAGCTAACAGATTATTTAGTAGTAAACAACAAGATAACTTAGTATTCGTCAATATGATGTACTTGAACTCTTGAAGATGGTGATAGTTCATGTGAGACGTAAACTTGCATCGTCTAACTTCACAGTTCATAGATGTTACTACTGATGTATTTAGGTTATGATTTATCTTTTATAGAATCGATATATTTATTATTTATTTATTTGAACACATAAATATTGGTACAAAGGGGCACCGAATACATATGCGTCATACTTCATCGTTCGATTTGTGTGAGGACTGGGATACTACCCGGGTACCCAAACCGAAACAGATGGTTTTCTTAAGGGGACACAACCGGAATCTTCGACCTTAAGGTCTGATCCACGAAGTAGTGGAGCAACGTAAAGAGATGCAGTCCCATGGTAGCTAGTGACTAACAATCGGTCCATACGCCATTTGTTTCCTTAGGATCCTGGAGCACCATTGGTTTGGAATCAGGGTTTTCCAACTCCCCTACGTGGATCACCAATATTCACCAACCTGGTTAGGGCACCGGATATTCGCTTTTCGTCCTCTCAATTTCATAAACAACAATGTCACGAGAAGGCAGTGAGTAGGACCTCCCTGGTGGTGGCTGTATACGCGTGGCCATGTGAGAGCATTTCGAAAATAGGAGCTACATCTCCCCAGCCTCGACCGTACCAGGGCATTTGAGGGCACTGAGATATTTACAATTGACTAATTATTCATTAGTGATCAATCATAGTGTTGTTTAGTCATTTAGTTCTGATCGCATCCTTGTAGTATACTTTCAAGTCACTAACCTGCGCACTCACAATAATCCTATCTATATACGGTGTGTTTGTCAATAAAATTTTAATGATAATAATAATACTGATGTTGACAGATATAAGTAGTATGTATCATCAATCTAAAGTGCAATGACTGGAGGCAAAAGGTTACAAATAATCAGAGAAAAAACAACGAGAACAAATAATGATTGGCGTGCAAACGAAAGAACAATAAAGTCTGTGACGATTGATTAACATTTTGTAAATGAAGTATTTACTGTATGGTTTTCAGATTTTACCAAGACATTCTGTAATTTTGTGTTCAAATACATTTGATTGTCCCAACTGATATTCTCGTTCGCTACAGTGCTATATCACAAATAGATGTAGACTATTTGTATTATGACTCTCAGATATTCCGCTTGTCATGAAACTTGAATATTTTTGATTAACAATAATGGAAATTACTGAAGAGTATAAACTAGGATGAAATGGCTTTATAGAGCTGATTAACTTTTATTCTATCTGAAAATGAAATTGGTTCATTTTTCTTCTGAACGACATCATCAGCACAAACTTCGGGTGGAATTGATGACGTAACACAAAGTGTTAGATTACGTAACGTACAAAGGAAGTTCCTCGTGTCTTTATAATGGTCTTAAACTATTATGACCATGATTTTATTGTTCTAAGATCCTAATTTAGTCTTGTCTCATAATGGATGTAACTGAATTCACAGAACCAGTTAACCTAGTAAATATATACAGACGAAGCAAAACTTTTAGGTCTGTTAGCCAAATTATTAACTACGGAATGATCAATAAAATCGTGATTTGTTAATTATTCCTATTGTCACAGGTTTTTAAATCATGAGTCAGTTGAAGCTAGACCACCTTTGAAAACCTGGAAGCACTGGACGGCCGTTTCGTCCTGGTATGGTTGAAGTTAGACATTAACACCGTTGGATGCCGGCTCAGTGGTCTAATGGTTAAGTGCTCGCGCGCGAAGCCAGTAGGTCCTGGGTTCGAGCCCCGCGTGGTGCGGGATCGTGGATGCGCACTGCTGAGGAGTCCCATACCAGGACGAAACGGCCGTCCAGTGATTCCAGGTTTTCAATGGTGGTCTAGCTTCAACTGACTCATGATTTAAAAACCTGTGAAATTTCGTAAATTCTCGACAAAACCCTTTCTGATATTCTTATTGTATTCACTGGGCATAGCGTTAGAATTTCCTTAGCTATTCATTACCCTGTTAGGGATGTTAGATGCACAGAATTCACTTGGTAAATGTCTTATTTTTGTAATTTTGTTTTGGAAATTTGAATTTCTTGTTTTCGGGCCAAAAGCGGCCATTTTCATCTTCATATCGTATTTCCCACTTGCGAGGATTTTAAATGTCATTGGTTCGTTATCCATTTTGCTATGCTAATTTGTAACGTTTTCTCATGGACATTTTTATGCTGTATATATATGCTTGAATTGTGCTTGTGGTTGTTGTTCGTACTTCTGACTGCCTGTGGAATACATTTTCCCTCTTCTAAAGCTGAACGGCTTTCTCGAGTTAGCAGGGCTTGGACGAATCGGAGTGGCCTTTTTGGTCATTGTGTTGCTGTCTTTGTTCCGTTCGCAGATTTAGGTGAATTCGTAATCTCTTCAAGCATAGCACACCTAGATTGTAATTGTCAGGAAATACAATTCCCAATGTTCCCTTAGTACTTTCTGGTGAATATTTCACTTAAGTCACTAGATACCGATTTCCTGAACCACAGGAATCTTCTACCCTTGGAATGTTAACGGAAAATGGAAGGTGGGAAATATGGAAGGAAATTTACTTTGAAGATAATTTACCTTACAGAAAATAACGGTATTTCTCGGACTTTACATATTTAGAGGCTTTTTGAAAATAAATTTAAAGTGGTAATTCCACAACTAATGCTACGGAAACACAGCCCGGCGTTTTCTAGAATTTTCTGATAACTTTTTTAAAGAATACTGATTACTTCAATTAGTTTCTATTTTCTAAGTCCCAACACTTTCACACTAATTTTTATATTTAGCCATATATCCTATTTTTTTAGATCTTTGATCCTTCCTACACTTGTTGTCTTCTCTTAAAATAACAGCGTGGAGTTACTGAACAACAATTATTAGATCTTGCTCATTCAGCACGAGCATTATTTATGAGTGAACCAGTTCTTGTTCATATTACTTCACCATTGATTATTGTTGGTGATTTACATGGACAGCATACTGATTTATTACAATATTTTAAACGATGCGGTAAACCACCAGATCAAAAATATTTATTTCTTGGTGATTATGTTGACCGGTCAGTAAGTGATTGTTCAATTATTTAATAATTCATAACTATCAATATTGTAAAATTTGAATTGCCATTGTTTTATCAAAAGTTCTCGTCAGCTCTGTTATAGTTAACAGTGTGTGTTATGACCTTAAATATCTGGTTTTGCTATCACGCAACCTATCGATCAATCTGAATTCAACTTATACGAATCTTCACACTAGGCCAACCAATGACGTTCAACCGGTGTGGGCAGTTTAGCGTTCTTATTGGTCCTATGTCCTCCGAGCCCTTCCACTTGAGTCCAGAACACAATATCAGCTTCCGTAATATGAATCGAATCAGAGCAGATCGTTTATTTCAGACATACTCGGTTTATATATCAATCAGACAGACCACAACGTACCATAAATTAGAAAATAACATATGTACACAAATAAGCCAAAAAGTGGCTGTGAACGAGGGGGACAGTAATTAATAGACTGAACATAGTTTAAGAACCGTAAATCGTACAATAATAAATGATAAGTCAAAATAAAGCTTATAATAAGAGGAATATAAATATACATAATCTAATTATTCTATAGTTTTACAATAAGAATATTTATAGAATATTAGTCCATTAGTAGTCCTCGGGAGTTACCTGTAATTTAATCTTCACTGGGTTATAACAGTGTGTCATCGCTGTTATGTACATTTTGAGTTCATTATGTCATCAGTCCTCCTGCTTTTACTTGACAATTGAGAACCACTGTCATTTCCACTACGTAAAGTAAAGATACAAAAGACTGATGAAATGTGGATTTATTGACTCTCCAAAGAACACATGAAATAAGTCCCAAAGCCATTTCGTCCTTAGATCAAAATACAATCAATTATGTAATAATTTTTACACATTTTTAATAGGGTCACATATAGGGGAAAATATATAGAGTTACTGTAGAAACATACCCACATTGAATGTAGCTTACTTCAATCGATAAAAGGAATAGAATTGTCACACTGAACGAAAGTTCACACATTTCATATTGAATGAAACTTATACTGAAATGATCCAAAAAATACCCAATAATATTAGGTATTAATAATTGTATTCTTTGATATAATTGAGTAAAGAAATGAAGAATGGATTACATTAGACAACATACGAATCGAGAACATGTACAACTGTTCACCAATTTAGTAGCTTATGTCTTATTGTATTAGTGAAATGCTTGAAGAAAATCGGACGCATTCAAAACCACTGCCTACCACAACGAGTGATGTTGTTTAGTGTAAGATTAAGTTGGAAAAAAGCTATGGACGGTTTAACCAAAACATGGAAACACTTCATAAAGTCATTGACAGTTGAACTGAACCTTATTAACAGGCAGCGAATACGTGGTTTGGATCAGCGTGATTATCGTAATCACTGGTTGGAGACTTTGAACGACATATCTCGAAATCATTTACAATGGAGAAGGTGCCTCCATTCATTGTTTTTCCCGCAAATTCTGATCTTCTGAATGATCTTTTGAAGTGATGTTCTATCTCACTGATTTATACTTTTTTGAATCATACCTTCAATGACCAATCTGCTCTGTTGACACTGACACTGTTATCATCTTTACTAGTTTGTGATTCGGCCTGACAATCTCATCTTGCCGTGCTAATGGGTTATGCCAGTTCGAACTAATGTAACTAGGTACCAGGTTCTACGTTGAAACTGGATGACAGTACCTTTTACACATCAACAAAGCTATAAAACTTCATATAGACCGAAACCTTGTATTTAGATGGAATTTGTTCAAACCTAAAACCCTAGCCTAGCTATCTATACAGTCTATACCAGATAGGGTTAAAATTAGAGTATTGATTCTCTCTTTGGGTTGAATTTCTTAAAATTCTTACTGACAAATATAACTAAATTATTGAGTTACACTTGCACTTCTGCCTGACAGTAATATTATTAGGTTACATTACCACTTGACTGGTATTATTGTTAGGTAGTAGGAGAGAATCACCAAAAATTAATTCCAATAGTTGAGATCATGAGTCGATCGAAGCTAGACCACCATGGAAAACCTGGAAGCACTGAACGCCAGTTTCGTCCTATTGTGGAACATCCAACGGTGTTAATGTTTAACTTCAACTAATCCACGAAATTGAGTGATAAATCCATCATTGTCATCAGTGACTTACTGTCCCAAAACAGACCCGATTGAACTCCTCTGGTCACTGCCTCTCACTAGAACTGCAGGAAATACCTCTTGGGGAACGTCACTAGGACCTATCAGTCCTGGGTTCGAATCCCCCGGGGAGGTCGTGGATGCGCAGTGCTGAAGAATCCCACAATAGGACGAAACGGTCGTCCAGTGCTTCCAGGTTTTCCATGGTGGTCTATTTTCAATTGACTCATGATCTCAAGTATTGAAATTACTACAATGTCCACAAAACTCCTTCTAAAAAAATCCATTCACCTAGATTTCATTTTAGCTGGCATTTGTTCACATAGTGTATCTGAAACTCAGGTTTAAGGCGCCTTAGTGATTATCTCAAACCATTTATCACTAAAACATAAAACATGCAATGTTACTTAGACTAATGGTCGAACTACAATTTGACTGATAGAATTCGATCCTAACTAAAAGACTAGTTAAACATAACTTAGGTCAATACTACTCAGTAGTGTTTAGAGCAACGTTGAAAAGCTAACTTGGAAGAGACAGTTCTTTGTTTTATTACTTTGTTTTGGTTCAAGTCCTATCATTAACTGCGAATAGGCTAAATTTGCAATCCAATGATGACACTGTTATAAGTGCAGTTTTACATATTTGATGAAATCATAGTGCCATTGTGTATCATCGTAAGTAAACTTACCATCTTATATTAAAACAGGTCATTCGAAAGAAAAAGTTCTTCCCATGTTACATTTGTGAGGATTATCTCAATAAATAGTTTATTATAGTGATAAACTAAGATTATCTCTTGATTCTAAGTTAAGTAAATTGATTGATGTAGATATTAAATCATAAATTAATCTTAGTTATACTACCACTGATGACCTGATATCATAGAACGGCTGTTCCATCCTAATATGTGACTTTTCAGTAATGTGACTACAAGGCTACGTAACACAGAATTTAAACCATTACCTTCGGTCTCGAGCACGAATGATTAACCTCTAGACCAATAAACATCCACTCAATGGTGTTAACTTATAATCTATGACAGCTCAATAATCTCCACAAAACCGTATGCTGATAAATGGATTAAGTAATGTCAAATATTAGGACAGTTAAAAATGCAGACCAGTGAACATTCATTCAAAAGTACAATGAAAATATGCAATTTGAGTAACTAAAAATATCCCAAGTGTGATCTCATGTTAGGTCAGTGGTTCAAAGATGAACAAAATATCTATCCTATGATCCTTGTATTTCAGTTTTATTCGTAGTAATAAAAGTCTGTGGTGAATACAGACGGTATTCTTCATATTAACCTAATAATTCATCAATGTTAAATCCCTCTTTCTTTGTTGAAGAAAACCCGGTTATTTAAATGTTTTGTTTAAATCATTCCATCTCATATTATAATGTATCTTTGTTTGTTTACATTGAATGTCATTTATTCAGTGGTAGACAATCATTGGAAACAATTTCGCTTATTTTGGCTTATAAGTTAAAATATCCTGATAAATTAGCTGTTTTACGAGGAAATCATGAATGTAGTCGTATAAACCGGTAAGTTTATCTAAAAATACTATGACGTAATTTATGTGCTTACTTGATAAGTTGCTATCGCTATTAGTTAGTAGGTTAACGACTAGCTTGTGCGATTTGTTGAAGTTTAAATCTATGCTTTTTATTGTTTTTTGAATCTTCCTATTGATGTTTAGGACTGTAATCGATCATTCTCTTATTGGTATATGTCTACCTTGTACCTACATCCCGGAATTGATGTACACTCCGGAACTCAAACACAGTACCGTTCATCTAGCTCACGGGTCCCCAATAGGACGAAACGTGCGTCATCGATTCCACGGATAGCCACTATCAATCTTCGCTTATAATGCTTGAGACTTAAGGCAGTATTGGGGCACAGAATGCACATATGCCAATAAGAGGCTGATCGACTGCAGTCCTAAATAACAATGGGAAGATTCAAGCAAACAATACCGAATGAGTTTATAAATTTGTTGTCATATAACATGTGATATAATCGGCTGAAAACAAAAAGTCAGTCAGTCAGCTACAACGTAGGACCAGGCACATATATGCATCGGTCCAGGTCGCCATACCTCGTTAGTACAGCAAGATGAACACCGGATTCATGGGAGTGGTTAGGTTAAAGGTGGTAATATATAGGAGAAAGATTGCAATAAGGATACAGTACCGGAATATAGAATTAGTTCGTAGAAAGAAAGATATGAAGAGATTAAAATCTCTTAGTTTAAGGGAAGACAGGGAGTGTATACACCGACGCCATTGTGATCGATTCTGAGCCATGTCACCAAGAGTCTCCAACCATTGGTTACGAAAGTCACGCGGACCCCAACTAAGTAGTCTGCATCTACCAACATGGCTCAGACTAGAGGTTAGTGTCTTCAAGCACTGATGCCACGTTTTGGTTTGGCCGCCCCTAACTTTCTTCCAACCATCTCTAACACCCGTTAGCATTGCACGTCGTGGTATTCGATGTTCAGGCATACGTAACACGTGGCCCAACCATCTCAGTCGATGAAGATTAACAACCTCATCAACTGATTTACTATCATTCCATAATACCCTGCGTCTAACCTCACTATTACTTACCCGGTGATCCCAACAGACGCCAGCAATATTTCTAAGGCATCTGTGGTCAAATACTAGTAGTTTAAGGGTGTCTTCTACTCTTAACGGCCATGTTTTGCTGCCGTAAAGTAAGACAGAACGGACTGCCGCGCAGTATACTCGTCCTTTTATTGATAGACGGATATCTCGCCTTCGCCATAGATAACGTAAGTTGGCAAAAGCCAAACGTGCTCTTTGAATCCGCTCAGAGATTTTGTCAGACACCAACCCATTAGGGCTGATCAGATTTCCAAGATAAGTGAAATTGTCAACGTGTTCGACTACTTCACTCCCTATCCTTAGTTCAGGTGTTGACGCAGACCAGTCCTGAAGCAACAACTTGCATTTAGAGGGAGAGAAGCGCATTCCAAACATTCTGGCATTGTAACAAAAAAGTTTACTCTGAATGTTTTATAGACCGTTAAAACTCTTCGATCTGGTCTGAAATATAAATATTTCTAACTATTCGAATGAAAAACATTTGAAAGTTTAATAAATGATATTTACCAGACAGTAATACATTTATTGATCACTAACTTTTGTTTTTCATGCTATACTACTTAATAATAGAAAGTAGATTGATGATTCCCTAGTAATGTATCAGTTGATTCATCACCGGATTAAATTCGAAATATGTTCTAGGTATATATAGAATGATTAAAGTATGTAAATTCTACGCGAAATGTCATGAGTTTGAACCTCACCTGAATTACATTGGATTAAGAGGAAGCGTGGTATCATTAACTGTCACACAAAACATCTGCCTCAAATTGGAGTGCTTAAACGTCTACCTGATCATACTATAGCAATAACGCAATTACACTTTAGTATGCAATATTGAAAAAAATAATAATTTCTATATATCCCATGATTTACTAATAGAGTCTTTCAAAAACGTATTTAAAACACTTGTCTAGACACAGTTTATAATCGATATAATCAATACTTCTAACAACAGAATACCAACAAATATCAAACAAACCAGCGAGATCTGATGTCCCAATCCATTGTTGAAGCAATTCGGGAATATCAAGTCAGATCTCCAAAAGGATTAATCTCCTAAAGTACTACGCAGTACTATATCACTTTCACATTCATAGTTTATTTCAGAAAAGGTTGGACATTCCTAGTTGATAGCGTTTTATACTATTGATACTAATAGTATTGTGATGTGTGCTACTGATGTCAACAGATATAAGTAGTATGTATCACAAATTGGAAGTGAAATGCCTAGCAGTAAATTACTGAGAAGATTGAAGAGAAGAGAACGAGAACAGAGAGTGATTGATGAGATGAAATAAAAGAACAACGAAGTCGTAAACAACCGATAGATATTTCGCAAATGAAGTATTTACTGTATGGTTCTCAGATGTTACCAAGAGATTCTGTAATTTTTTTTCTAACTCACGTTAGTTATCCGAGCCTATGTCCTCTTTTAATGCAGTAGTATTAAATGTTAAGCGTTTTCTTAACTAGAATCTGTTTATCAAATTAATTGAATGAATCTTCATTTGCTCTAGTCATAAAAACATTTCAATGGTTGAGATCATGGGTCAATTGAAGCTAGACCACCATTTAAAACCTTGAAGCACTGGACAGCCGTTTCGTCCTATTGTCGGTGTGCATTACTGAGGAGCCTTGCAGTAGGGCAAAACAGCCGTTCAGTGCTTCCAGGTCTACCATGATAGTCTAACTTCAATTGACTCATGATCTCAACCCTTGAAATCACTATCATATCCACAAAACCCCTTCTGATAATGAAGATATTTGTTTTTTCCTAAAATATTTCTTTTCAATTGATCTTTTATCATTCATCTTATTAGTATCTACGGTTTCTATGATGAATGTAAACGTCGTTATTCAACAAAATTATGGAAAGTATTCACTGATTGTTTTAACTGTCTTCCTTTAGGTATGTTCTAATGTGAATATATTTCAATGCATGAAATACATTTGTTTTAAATATTATTAAGATAAACTGTACTAGGGCGATTGTATAATTTAATTTTTATGGTACTATCTAAAGTACTAGTGGAAAGTAAAGAAAAACGCCCTAGTATTTTTGTCTTATTTTAAGATTCTTTAACATTTTCCACATATGATCTTCATAGTGGATGTGGAACGCATAGCCATCTGCATGATAGCTGTGTTGAAATTTGGACCGTTGTTATACCCTTTCGTTATTCATCATCATCATCGTCATCATCATCATCATCATCATCCATTATGGTTAATGTTTTTATTCACTAATTTAACATGCTCCACATCCCCTGAAGATGACTTTTCAGTAAAAACGTTAAAACTATTTAAAAACTGAAAAACTTAAAAAATCGATTCAATTTTACTGATCTACAAATCGCAATGAATAAATGGTTTTGTTGGGATCCGTAACGACATTATGGATGGGATCAATGTGCTTACTTGCGCCTTTTACTTGTCGTGGGATACATACCACCGACTGGGATTCTCGAGACAAATCTGTCCTGAGCAATCCCTTCTAATTGTTCTCAAGTGCTAGTCATTCTTTTGATATCTGCGTTCAATTTACAACACAATGTGTTCTTTTGGTATTACCTCTTTCCTCTTACCTTCAATATTTTGAATTGTGGCTTGCCTTGTGATTCAATTTGATGATCTCTGCAATGTGTATTCTATCCGCCTTCGGAGTCTTTGCTTAATTTCCTCTTCAGCTCGGAAGCTGATATTTTCTCTCTCACAGAAGGTTGTCGCTGATGGTATCCAGCTGACAAACATTGGGTATCTTGCATAGACGGATATTTATAAATACCTATGTGGTGCGAGCTACTTATATTGGTATAAGTAGTATATAACGTGCGTCAAAAGAGCGTAAGGTCTGGCAGTAGAAGATGGCGAAGATCAAGAAAGGTAGAGCGAGAACATAATGGAATTTGTAAGGAAACCTATGAACAATGGAATGGGAGACAATGGATTGGTGTTTGCAACACAAACAGTCTGGTTTGATTTGATACATGAATATTTTGCAAATTGACGACTTACTATATGGTATTCGGATTTTATTGAGATAGTCTGTAATTGTTGTGCTAAATACATTCGTTTGTCCCCGCCCGTGTTATCGTCCACTACACCTATAGTTGTATTTGTTCTCTAAGTTTCAGCTTCGTCAAGATTTAGAATTAGAACTTAATATCTAACCGGTCAGTTCCCTCTATGCTTCTCAATAGTCATTCATTTGTTGTCAATATATAATTTCACAAAAATCATGATTCGACTTTTTTTTACAGTTATGTATCTTGCTTTGTTTTTTCTAATGTTCTTACTACACAGCCGCACTAGTTGACAATAGTATGTTTTGTGCACATGGAGGATTATCACCAGATTTAAAGAAATTAGAACAGGTAAGTTGTAACTTAGTGTTCTTTATTACTAGAGAGGTTTGTGGAGGTTATTTAATTTTATGGTTTAATTCATGAATTGATCATAACTAAACAACCAGTAAAAATTAGGAAGTACCGGATAACTATTTTGTTTTTGTTAAAGGACTCAGAAGCGAGTATCCACGACATCATTGCGAATATAACTCATGACGTTTAAGACACGGGGAAAATACTTGATCTTCAGACCACTTAGTTCATCAGTTTAAAGGTAATGTGCTTACCGAGAGTCCTGGAGGTCCTTGGTTCGATTCGTGATGAGGTTATGAATACACAGTACTGAAAAGTATCATACTATGAAGAAACTATCGTCACGTGTTTTTCGGTCCTCATGGTTATTTAACTAGGATCAGTTAGTGGTGTAAACTGTAAAACACAATATTTTTCCTCTTTTAATTTGTAAAGTTTTTCAGTTGTCTCGGTATTGATAATCAGGATTTTGATCAGTCTTAGTTAGGAATATATGCATCCAATGAGGATTCTATTAGGTCATATGTCTTCATGGAATAAGTAGAATATGACTAGCAGTGAAATCGAAAGCGTGAATTCATATTTTTTTATTCACAAGGCACTGGTTATATATATGTGGACAATACGTTGTACTGGATGTGAAATGTATTGTCTTCGAGTCTTGAGATGAACATCATCACAAGGACTCAGGCACCTTTAGCTGATGAATCCTAATAAGATGAAACGCAAGTCCTGGATTCTACTGCTATTCTCAGTCGACCTCTATTTCTTCTATTTTGTCTTGTTTTACTTTCTTATTTCAGTTTTATTTAACTTTATTAAACGGAATCTCTGTTTATTTACTTTTGAATTCTTGAATATTTTACTTGTTTAAATCACTTCGCTTCCTTTAAAGTTGAATGAAATACGACGTCCAACTGAAGTACCAGATATGGGTATTATTTGTGATTTATTATGGTCAGATCCTGATGGAGTAAGTTCAGAATTATAGTGTGTTCATATACAGTAGTGATAATATTACTTAATAGAAGATAATTGACAGGAGCACCTAGACCCTGATTTTTTGTTGGTTAATCATCATCAGTAAGAGAATTCGAACTCCTATCTCCCTGTTTCATATCTTAAACGCTGAACCTACTATTGTGATATATCCTGGTGTCTATACTGCTAATCGATCGATAAAATTCGATTAGCACTAAGGGAACTAGACAAACAGGACATTAGTTACACCTTTGTGATCAATCACTGGAGATCATGACAGTGATGGTTTTAAATGTGAACTAGAAATTATCTGAAGAACTATTGGAAATCAGAGACAGAGAAAAAGACTAATCAATAATACACAAACAAAAGCTTACACTTTATTGAATCTATTAAAACTAGGTTCATTTAAAAGATTACTTCAGACTATTAAGATTGAAACTTATTGTATTGAGTCATTGCTTCTAGGTAAAATTCTGAAAGCTTTAGACTGAAATTGTTGCTTGTTGGAGAATTTCAAGTGTGAGGTAATTTTTACACTCATGGCTGAATTAAAACCTAAACCATTGATTTACAGCATACTACCCTGTAAGTATTGTGATTATCACCAAATCGAAATATCGTTATCGAAGTTCTAGTGAGAAGCCGTGACCAGTGGAGCTAACCCGTGTCGGGTAGAGACAGGTAGGTATCTACCTCAGTACAATGGAAGATGGTCGTCCAATTTCATGAACTGGTTGAGGTTAGACATTAACACCATCGAATTCTTACTCAGTGGTCTAGAGGTTGGCATTCTCGCGCGAGACTGAGGGCCCTGGGTTCGAGTCCCGTGAGCGGGTTCGTGGATGCGCACTGATGAGTAATCCTATAACGGGACGAAACAGCCATGCAGTAATTCCAGGTTATCAATGTTCGTTTAACTTACATAGACTCATGAATTCAACTATATAAATTACTGCAATCTCCATAGATCCCCCTTTTTGATTTACAGATGAATATATATGGTAGTGAATAAAGTGAGTATTATTTCACCAAGATTACACTTATAAATAATGAATAGATTAAAAAGAAAATCATTTTCTTCATATTATTTAGTCATATGCTGGTTGGAAAGAAAATGAACGTGGTGTTTCTTATACATTCGGTGAAGATGCATTAATTCGTTTCATGAATGATTGTAATGTTAAATTAGTGGTTAGAGCACATCAAGTTGTTGAAGATGGTTATGAATTTTTTGCTGATAAAAAGGTAAATTTCGAATAAACTAAAGGGGAAAAAATATATTTTTACTTACATTTATATTTGTATTTAGATTAGGAAAGGTTTGGAAATGGCTTAGTAGTAACATTTTGATGGAGTTTTGTTCTCTGGATGGTTTGGCTATGGAGCTTTCGTCGTTCTTCTGAACAACATCATCAGCACAAACTTTAGATAGAATTGAAGTGTTCGAATTTCTCCATATGCGTTTCACAACTAGTTTTGTACACCTCGATGTTGTTTGGTTCTTATTAACCTTAAATTTATCATTGTTTACTTCTTTGTTTTGGTTGTGTCTCCCATTGGTTTGATTTTTGTTCCTGTATTTATGTATGGTTTTCCTGATTCGTTGATAAACTGGATTGATTTCAATATGTTTGTTGATTGCTGATTGACCTGAGTGCCAGACTTCTGAAAATTCTCTGGTGTTTTTGGAGTTTCCTCTGTCTAAGATTTCCACATTTTTCCAATCGAATGAGTGTCCGCAGTTGTCCACGTGTATTGCTAGAAGCGAGGAGATATCATGGCGTTTGACTGCTAATTGATGTTCGTGTAGGCGAAGGTGAAGAGGCGGCCGCTTTGTCCTATGTAGTATTCTTCGCAGTTGACACAATTTATTTTGTAGATGATGTTTGATTTGTTTCCTTTTGTTATTTCATCCTTTGGTTTGTATAGGATTGATTGTAGTGATTTTGTCGGTTTGTGTGTAACACCTATCCCGAAGGTTTTCAGCAGTCTCGTTGCGGTTTATGATATTCCTTTTTATGTATGGTAGGGCGATCCTTTAGTTGATTTCTGTGCTTGACTTGGGTTCTGATGCTGCGCGCGGTTGGAATTTTTTGATGAAGTTGATTGGGTAGCCGTTATTTTGAAATACGTCCTTCAGGTATTGCTCTTCATTAGTTTGTGAAATTGGGTATGATATGAATTCAAATCTATCAGGGAGCATGAATTCGACCGAATACGCTGATATGTCCTACTAATGAGTGACAGCTAACATAATGCTTAAAGGAAAGAAGGCTTTATTTTCGATTATCCTCAACTACTTCAGAGTCATTATTTACTTATTAAAACGATATCATCTCCGAAATTCATTTAATCATTTGGTTAAGCGCCTGGCGCTAGACTGACAGGTCCTTGGTTCGAATCTCGCGGGGTGCGGGTTCATGGATGCGCACTGCTGAGGAGTCCCATGCTAGGACGAAATGGCCGTCTAGTGCTTCCAGGTTTTTCATGGTGGTCTAGCTTCAGTTGACTCGTGATTTCAATCAGTGAAACCTCTTTAATTGTCATTACAGTAATAATAACTGTGGTTTAAATTCGTTATTCACACTTGTCTCAGCATTATTGAACAATTTTTCATACCATCCCACTTTCTATTCTTTAAACCTGTTTGTCAATAATATTAATAATTTAAAAATGATACAATCAGTTACTACTGTTGTTAAAGCCAATAATTTTTGAAGTGATTATCTTTTTAATAATAATGAGCTCTGGTTATTATGCGGTTACTATCAGAGATAATTTATTTCCCAGTAAAGGTGGATAGTCGCTAGCAGTGGAATCTAGGACGCGCGTTTCGTTCTACTTGGGGCTCGTCAGATGGATATGCCTGAATCTCGGATTTTATATTCGCTCCGGGATTCAAACCCAGTACCTTCAAACGTCATCGTGCATTAAGGATTCCGTGGCTAAACGGATAACACGATGACGTTTGAAGAGAACAGCTCTAGGCTCGAGTCCCGGAGTGAATATCAACTCTAAGATCCAGGTACATCCAGCTGATGGGTCTCAAATAGGAAGAAACGTGAGTCATGGATTCCAGTGCTAGCCAATATTAGTCTTTACTTGCAAGTTTAAAAAGTACAAACAAAACAATGCAGAATTGACTGAAATTTGATCTATCTTAGTTGGTATATATGTTTATCTTGTTCAGATTCCCTCGATTTTGTTGATTGTGACACAATTTTATGTAGAATATACTAAATAAGGCTAACATTAGAATCCACAACACGTATTTCAGCTTAGTTGAGAATAGTCATCTGGATATACCTGAATCCCAGCTGATGAATCCCAAATAGGATGAAACATGCGTCCTAGATTCCATTGCTATCCACTTACTGTCTGTTGATTTGTTCGCAGTTCAATATTCGTAGATTAGTGAAAATATGTGTTTTGATAAGAAAGTTGCTATTGGAAGTGTTCTGTTTTCCAAAGGGGTTTCGAGGAAATCGGCTTAATTTGTAAGTTGTATCCCTGACAGATTGTTCTCAGTTAAAATGCCAAACAAATGTTTCGGGGATCAAATCTAAGTTACACAAGATGTCAATTCAATGCTCATAATTATAAACGTTTGTAACGCGACATGAATATCCTGGACGTAACCCGTAGTAGGATGAAGAGTGTGTGTTGTTAAGAAATCCACTGCTCTATAATTTTCAATGATAGTTCAACTATGATCAATCTGTAGCGAATCAAAACTACACTCCATGGAAATATTTATGAATGACTACAGGAGTTATAAGGAATTTTTCTTCATCAAAGACAATATCTTTCTTAGAAGCAAATCAAAGACTGAAAGTTGAATATCTGAATTACTAAGTGCATTCTTATTTGTAAATAATGAATTCTCGTGACTTTACAAATCGACTGTGACTGTTTTTCTATATGACTTCATATGAAAAATTCAAATAAGTATGTCGACGAAAATAGAAATATCAGGATTTCTAGTTTCCAAAACTATAGAGAAGTGACACAGTTAAACACGACAGCAGGTAGATGAATTGTTTATCAATAGAAATTAAAAAGGTAGTGGAGAAGATTTGTAGCTCAGGTGGATGATTTTGGTGGAGTTTTGTTCTATGAGCTGGATAGTTTAGTCTTAGAGCTTTCATCGTTCAGGTGGAAGTTTGTGCTGATGATGTCGTTCAGAAGAACGGTGAAAGCTCTACGACTAAACTATCCAGCTCAGAGAACAAATCTCCATCAAAATCACAGGTGGTTTACATCATACACATACATAGCTTTCGATCATCCATTTTCATCTCACGGTGTGTTCTGTAATCTAAGCTGTCTTCTCTTCTGGTCATCAATTGTTCTGCCTATATCATGTTTTCAATGTACTGAAACTCTTCATACTGTTTGAAGACTATGAGAACTTTAAGACCACATTCCTTAATCATTTACGTACATAAAATTTTGTGAATAGCGTCCATTACATTATCACAAAATAATAAATGGAATATTCACGAAGTGACTTGTTTGAATCTGTATTGTGATAAAAGCAAATTGTTGAAATTACTAAAAGGTGTCAAAACTTACATCCCAACCGATTGGACTTCAGATCAAATATCGTATGAATTTGTTATAACTTGTAAATTGAATGCTACTTTTTTATATCTGGTCGTCGCTGATTGTTGTGTCGGAAACGCTTATCACTTATATTTTAAACGAGGGACCTCTGTAATTCTGACGACACGAAAGTAAGAACACAAGACTGATATAAGTGAATATTTATTAACTCAAAGACACGACGACGACGGGGTAAAAAAATATTCTAAACCTTCAGTCTTCAAATTAACGAGTCTAGGTCAGCCTGTAATTGGAAAAAATTCACTGTAATTATTTCGAGCAATCAGCATACGAAATTCTCGCCGGTGTCCTTTAACAACATTGATTGTTAATTAGTCATGCAATGTTTTTCGTTAGCATGCTGATTCAGAAAATGGCTATCTCTTCCGATTTATTACAGTTGCTATTTGAACGACAACACCAGCGTTTCAAAAAGAGCCCGTTGAATTTTTTAGACAATTTACGCACACGGCTGCTAAATCATCCATGTTTTGGAGATGTGACAGAAGTTTATAAATCAATTTCTAATTTGTATACAGAGCTGAAAAATGACTGCAGAACGTATAAACGTGTCGATGAAAGCCTCTGTTAATCATTGATAAGCAGTAATGTAAAAAAAGTAGTAGCCGTCATTCATGATCCGCCCTGTGATCCGGAAATTTCCATTTCAGAGACATGCACTTTAGCGGGTTCAACTTCCATTGTCCCCGAAACACAATGTACAAACACTGACTTGTCCAGTTCACAGAAAGACGACGTCTTATTAACTACTCATTAAATTATTGTATTACCCACCCACGAAGAAATAGAAAATGAATCAAGCATCATAATGAAAACAGCTGAATTAAATGGAGCTCATCATTAAACGACAAAAGCTTCTGATGATTGTACTTATCGGGGTAATCTTATCAAGATGTCATTTACCTTTGGACAATTTGAAGCCTTGCTGGAACGCCAAGTAAAGTGTTTCGAACAGTTTCATATTATAGTAATACTAACTCAGCAAATGAACCTGAATCAAAAAGGGGTTACAGATGATCTTTTCAAATCTCATGTCGACCACATTATTAGTTCTATCGATGAATTTAATTTTGATGGTTCGGCTGGCATTACTTTTGAAATCTGGTTCAAGAAATACGAAGATTTGTTCAAGGTCGACCCCAAAAAACCTGATGACTCCGCTAAGGTCAGAATACTCTTACGAAACTTGGAAGGGTTGTACATGAATGTTACAGTAACTTTATCCTTCCAAAGAATCCAAGAGATTTTTCTTTTGATGCAACGATTGATATTTTGTATCAAATCTTTGCTAAACAGTTATCCTTGTTTAATATTCGTTATAAATGTCTCAAGATAAGAAAAGCAGATGATGATGACTGGGTAAAGCATTCGGGTTTAGTAAACCATGAACGTGAGCTCTTCAAACTATCAGCAATGACAGAAGATCAGTTTAAGTGTCTCATATTTGTGTGCAGCCTCCAATCTCCCGAAGATGCTGATATTAGAACCAGAATTTTGAGTAAAATTGAACAATGCCCGTATATAACACTACAGAAAGTAACTACTGAGTGCCAGAGATTGGTAAACTTAAAAAAAAGTTGTTAGAAAACAAATGATTAGACATAGATGAAAATCCAGGTCACCAGTTACCACCAATGTTTATTCCATTTTATCGATTGTCAAATTTCTTTCTTCTACATGTTACTCTGTCTGTAAATTCAAAAGACCATGATAAATAAACTCATCCTTATGTGTACAGATTATCCGTTCTGGAATCTTTAAAAGAATTCAAATAGACTTTGAAGAGTCCTCAAATTGTTTGTAGATTAGGGTTAGATATATAAAGTTGGAATTAGAGGTTCTATCACTGAATGACATCAGCTATATTGTTAAAATGCTCTGTAACCATTTAGATGAAAGAAATTATTTTTAAAAAAAATGTGTGGTGCTATCTGATCAGTTGATCAACAAAATGTGAGTAACACCAGGCTTCAGGTTATTTCAGAATAAAAGATTAATGGTTAAGATTTAGCGATAATATCGAGTTGCATGTTATATCCCATTGTAATAGACAGAATTAATCATTTGATCCGTTTATCAATACCATTTTTACCCCATGATTGTTAAAAAAATAATTTTTCTTGATTACTTTAGATATTCGGATCAGTATACAGAAGTATTCCTATTGCCTGTTATACACACAAAGACCTTGGTCACGCCCTTGATTCTGATTGGCTCGTTCGTTGAGACTATAATTTACGGACGAACCAATCAGATTTACGATAACAAGTCTTAGATTTTGTCTTGAAATTCAATCATCCATTTGGTTAGTCTTGGCATTATAGCTGATGTGAATTCGTGATGAAAACCCTAAATCTAATTCCTAACCCTAACCATAAACTGTAAATTATAATCCCTGTTCTTCAAAGTAGATACTCCCAAGGTCACTTTAGCGTCGCCCAAAAGTCGTCCATAAATTATAGTCTCATGGCTCATCCATATATCATACTTTTACGATACCTTCCATAATCGTTTGTTTTAATGACTGTCTGTTTTGTTTCTTTTTTTGAGGTTGTAACCGTATTCAGTGCAGCAAATTATTGTGGTGAATTTGATAATGCTGGTGCAGTTATGCAAATTAATGAAGATTCAGTCTGTTCATTTGTGATTTTAAAAGTTAGTACCATTATAATTATTATTATTAGTTAAATTTAAATAATCCAATGTCATTTTGTTTAATCTGTAAGTTGGTTTCAGTGCTAGATGCAGATATAATGATATCTGGTATTCACACTTCATCAGATTCGTAAACATACACGTACCTATCTACTTCCAAAAATAGCAATATCTGTTGAATTGAAGTTGACATTCGGCCGATTTGGTTGACATGTTTTACGACAAAGTTGATCGCTGAAAATTGTCGCAAAATATATATAAACGGCTTAAAGGCCTTATACTTGAGTACAACTAGTCAAGTAAGAGCTCATAACATATAATATCATATCACTCTCACACTAAATTCAAAATGTTGCTTGGAGACTTATTTATGTCCACATCTAGACTGAATAATCCTATCGAACCCTGAAATAGTATCAGTTAACAAAGTTATTATTTGTTGGTTTGAGTTCAGTAGATAAATATCAACCTACTTGTCAAAGCTTACTCATTAATTGTAGTTAATAGCTGAAAACGTTGGGCGTGACGAAGGTTGCTATGTCAAACCAAATCTGTCAGAATTGCTGAGTTCCTTCATCTTTAGTTATTATGTCAAAGAGACGTCTTTTCTTCCATTTAACTAACAGGGATGTGTGTCTTATCTAAACAATTTTTTATCGACTTGAAGTAGTAAAATGGCGTAAGTCTGTTGAGTCACAACTCTGATAAGATTTAGACCCTTTTGAACAAATTGAATGAAAGAATGCTTGAAATTAATTTTTGCGAACCCATCTCAAATACAAAATCTTATTTATGTACTATAATACGTCAACCAAAAGAAACTGAAATAGTTATATACATTGATTACTTTATTTATCTTTAATTGTTCATTAACTCTTGTGGGTTGGTAGCTGATGAAGCCTGTACATTAATACAGGGAACTTACTTTGTATTTATGAAACTGCAGTACCTACGATGCAGAAACTTATTCGTCTGCCTACAATACAGCGAATGAAATTCTAATTAAATAACATTTTAACTTTACAGTATTGTCTGCTAACATAAAGGATGTGATCACAATTACTTCTTGAGTATTATTTAGATAACCCATAGAATACTTTGTAGAGACATCAAACTGACTGATGAGTCCATGAATCTGAAACAACTAAATTGGTCAGAGAAAGTTTGTTTAGTTACAAAAATGATTTTAGTTACTCTTATCACTACCAGTTTCAATTATGTTGACTATCAACAAACTGATTTACATCACAGAGGGATCTAAGACGAATGACTATTGAAAACCATGTAGCACTGATCAGTTATCTCATCCTAAACGGAGACTGTTCCAAAGTATGTATCCACCATATCAGCTAGGATCAGATCTAGGATCTTTCAGTTCTTGTGACCAGAGCTTAACATCTGAACCAATGAGTTGGGACCTAATAGCCTACATTTCTAACTTCATTCAATTCGTGACGTTGTGAAGCTATGTTCTAATATATTTGGTGTGCAGTGGCCTTGTTTTCATAAAAGAAGAACTACGTTGGTGATATCTTCTAGTTAGAATTCCAGGATTTACTATTCTAATTTACACACCACAAAACACATGGTTAGTATGAGAACAGAGGTTTGTGGAGTTTATTAAAACTTTTAGTTCTCATCACTTGTTGATTATAGGTCTTGGGTCCGATCACAGATGTGGTCATGGACGAGTACCGTTGTGGATTTCCATATTGAGAAGGAACAGCTAATTACTCTTTAGCAGTTTTCAATAGTTATCTAATCAAGGTCATCAGTCATGCAACCTGGATATTTCAATAACTCTCCATACAAATAACTAAGCGAGTGTTTGATAGACTTAGACATTTAACAGCAGTTTGATAATTTATCTAAAAACATTGAGAAGGAGATACTCACTTACACACACACACACTCTCCGTCGCTGAAGTTAGATTACCGAAGACGGGAATTTTAAATGTTTCTATAATTTAATGAAACAACTCCACAATTTTGTTAAGTTATATTCATATAGCCAAACCTTAAACAATATTTAAATAATATTCACTTTAGCCATATATAACTAAAAAGAAGGAATCGACCTTGGAAGAATCGGAATCTACCGGAGACCTTGCAAAGAAAGAAGACTCCAAGGTAAAAGAACAAGAGGAGATGACACAATCAGTAACCAACATACAGAAATCAAAGTAAACAATAGTCACTAATCGAATAAAATGTATAACGATTGGAAATATCGATTGGGTGAATAGTATGTATGTATGTGGTTTTGGACATGTGCAAATGTGAGAGACTTATGTACAATTGTTTCTAACAAATATAACCAGTTGTTTACCAGTCAATAACTAATGTGTTTTTTTAAATAATACAAGCTGTTTATAACTATCAAACTTGAGTTCGTATTGTTTTAATAAGCGTAGAAGCTGATCTGTTTTATTCATGTATCATCTGCATGATCCCTTTGATAAATTAACTTCAAACGATTATTTATTGTCAGGAAGGGTTTCTTGTGGATATTGTAGTATTTTAATAGTTGAGTTCATGAGTCAACTGAAGCCAGACCATCATAGAAAACCTGAAAGCACTGAATGGCCGTTTCGTCTTGGTATCAGACTTCTCAGTGACAGTGCACATCCATGATCCCGCCCCGCGGGATTCGAACCCATTGTTTATTGATCAATCAATGGTGAGCGTTACTCAGCTACAATTTACTCGAAGTTTGATTAGTTATTAATATAACAAAAACTTCTAATTATCAGTTTAAGTCTGCTTTGGGTATCAAGAATCAACCAAGCTCTATTCGTTTCTCACACTAAATGACGTATACCTTTGTAGGTGTTTTAAATACTGAATTTTGTTGTGATTTATCAGGTGGAAATCCATCTACTTATAATTTTTGTGAGCACTTGAAATTCTTATTTATCACTAGTTGTTAAGTAACTATTTCTGGTACATTATGACGAAACATTACACGACTGTATGATTGTTGTGAGCTGCATCTTGATTTAGTCTTAGTACACACTTCATGATAATTGCTCAATCAATTTTATGGAATTAGGGATTTTTTTTATCCCGATGTATGGATCAATATGTAAATGATTGATATACATGTTTGTATGATAACTGGCTTAAATCATTCTTGTTTCGTAATAACCTAACTAATTTTGATACAATGATTATAACTACTTGTCATGACAATCCATTGAGGAAAGTTTATTCAAAATACCTAACCACCTAATGTTGTACAATGTTGGGAGGATTAGTTAGAAAAAATGAAAATCAAAGGCAGAGAATCGTGAGGTATGGAGATGAAATTATACTAGGATGTTGTCGAAGTAAAATATTTCTCATAGACAATTAACATTTCTACTGATGCCAGAGTTTTAGTGATTGTCTTCTTTTACTAAAATCGATACTGTTATTTCAAGTGTTCAATATTTAGCTTGATAATTTACTACTGCTTGAGTAATATGAACTTCACAGCTTGTGTTGTTACACATATTCACTAAATACTATTCTGAAAGTCATCAAGTATTTCTCTAGAAAGTTTCCAAACAATCAGAAAAAGCTGAAAGTATTTCATCCAGTGTAATACCAAATAGAAAAATGAAAGATTTTCAGTCATAGTTCTAGATATGTACAATTCTCCTTATCATAAAATTGCATAGTGGCTAGTGCAAATCTTAAAGCCTTTGCACAAATCGATTGTTGGAAATAGTGTAAAAGATTTCTTCGACTTCACCTCTATAGTGGGAAATATTAATGTTAGTATGAAAAATATGATCTCAGTGGATGTAGGATCTTTGTTCACCAATGTATCACTTATAGAGACTAGTAAGTTTATATGCAAGCAAAGATCAGAAAAACAAATCAACATTGGCTTGCCTGACGATAGTCTAAAAGAACTGCTCTTAAGATGCAGGCTGAATTTCCATTTTGTCTTCAACAATACTTATTATAAACAAATAGACGGGATATTCATGGGCTCACCTTTAGGCCAGATTTTAGCTGATCTCTTTCTAGCAAAGATGAAATTGGACCTCTTAATGAGACTATTAAGAAGCTTGATTTAGATTACTCAATTTGTTGCTAAATTTGGTATATCTCCAGAAGCTTCCACCTTGTAAAAAACTATTTGTCAACCTAGAAAAAAACTTGATTTCCGTATACAAATCAACCTTGAATTAAAGTTTCTATTCTTACTTTAAAACTTTTCTCTACTGTTCGAGCTCAAAATTTCGAGTAATCTATAAATATAAAAATGCTAGATTTGAAGCTATCACGGGTTCACTTAATCGGCGAACGAGAACACGACTCGGTGACAAAAGACCAGTAAGCTAGCTATTTATGCGTCCCATCCCCGCTAACTAGAGGGAGAAGTCCAAGCTTGGAATGGGAAAGTGTATTCTGCAAACAGCCAGAAAAGAGTGATAACAACAAACACAAATCAAAACGTATATATACAGTGCAAAACCGTCCTTTGGGAGAGTTACCAAATAACATACCAAAAGACTCAGCGGACCAATAGCATTTTAGATATTTCCCAGCGGGAAATACGACATGAAGGTGACAAGAGCGCCTTTGGCGCGAAAACAAAGAAATTCAAATTTTCAGAATAAAATTACAAAATTAGGTCCTTTCTCAAATGAGTTCTGGGATCTAACGTGCTCAACAGAAATCAGCTAGAAGGTCAATAGCAAGTGTTCAAATAGGAGATATACAACTGTAACAATTAAATACCTAATTATTTTAAGATATTTGAAAAAATTTATTTATGTATAAAAAAATCTTTTAAATATTTAATATTTCCGAACAAACAATATTTTATTTATTTAATCATTGAATTCATGAGTCAATTAAAGCTAGATTACCATGGAAAGCCTGGAATTATTAGGTGACCGTTTGGTCCTACTTTCGGACTCCTCAGCAGTGCACATCCACCATCGTACACGCAGAACTCGAACCCAGGACCTATCGGTCTTGCGTGCAAACGCATAATCTGTAGACTGTTGAGCCGGCATTTAACGGATGGGTCCTGGGTTCTAATCTCGCGAAGCGGGATCGAGGATACCCATAGCCACAGAGGAGTCCCATACTGAGACAAAACAACTGTCTAGTGCTTTCATGTTTTCCATGGTGGTTTAGTTTTATCTGACTCATGAATTCCATAATTCAATTACTAAAATCTCCACTAAAAACCCTCTTCTGATAACATTTTATTTCTTTTAATAAAAATATGGAGCAAATAATTTTACACACATAAATTACATAATGAATGATTATCATTTCCTGTTATGTAACCATAAACAAATACCAGATTTTATTTTTATTATTCAATAAAACACAAAAAAACATACTCTGTAAAAATAAAAATGTCGCGTTTTTTCTCTCGTTTTTTTTAAACGATACAATAAAATGTTAAATCGATTATTTCTGGTTGCTATGCATGTGTGTGCGTACGTGTGTGTCAATATGTTGAAGGTATTATAACTGAATGTTGTTTAAAAACAAACAAATGAAAACAGAACAACAACACAAAGGCTCAATAAGTGCTCAATGCTCAATAAGTTTACTGTATCTAGTTTGCATTGTTAAATATTTCCCTCCCTCTCTCTCTCTCTCCCCTTTAACTCCATAAAACTAATTGAGCAAGCATCATGAAGTGTATACTAAGATCAAATAGAAACGTAGCTCAAATGGTTAAAGTGAAATCTTCAACAACAACAACAAAAAAAAGAAAGAAGAAAAGAAACGAAAAGTGAATTACACTTTAATATACAACACTCACCTATGTTACTAAACATAGAACATTTATTGATTGCATAATATGTAACTAATAACATTAGCCATGTAAAGTGTCTTTTAGAAACTTTAAAGATAAATAACTGATTTCATGTTATGTAAATATTAATGAAAATAAAGAAGGTTTAAAGTTTATTTCCTTTTGTATTCAGTAGTATAATAAAGTAATCTATCCAATGATGTAATAGAACTATTCGAGTGTAATATAAGTATACAACTATAATGAAAACTTCCTTCTAAAGTGATCATAATTCAATTTGATTACCAATGAAGGTGTAAAATAGATAATCCATTTACCTTGAAATGAAAGAAAATAATAGAAAATAATTTAACAGAGTCAGTAATGATTAGTAAAGTTAGATAATGACTATAATGATATATTGTCTTATTTGGAACTTATCAACTACATCTATTGCTGAATTAGTAATCAGTCAGTCAGTGGTCTTGAGTGCTGTTCAAGGTATGAGGGCGGTTATCACTTCCCGGTTGTCCAAATCGTGGAATGGTCCTTCTAGAGGTGCCTGAAAAAAATTGGATTAGAGGTGGTCTTAGTGACCTGAGAGCATGACCACAGTGCCCAAGCGACAACTACTTGAGGTCGGTCACACGACTTTTTTATGGGTAATGTTTGTGTTAGCCCCGTACTTGTTGAGACCTTACCGCCGGAGACGGAAATCCGTGAGGTAAGGTGAGGTGCTCATTTTTAGGGTCGACCTTTTCTAACCCGGCACCTCCTTGTAGGAAGGCAGCATCGCTGTCATGCTGGTTGTCTGAAGGAAACACCTTACTGCTGTCACGCCTCTGTACAGTTAGCAGTACGACTACGCCTTTGGACCTCGAGTTTGTCGCTTTTAGTCTTACCGCTCTTCAACTGACCTGTCTGACATGGTAGGACCTTGAAGAACGGTTGTTCCATCCAGTATAGCTCGGTTGCTTCATCACGATAGGCAAGCCCGACCACCACATCAAGGTAGCAACAAGGGTTGGGTAAATTAGTAATGAACTGGAAGCGTAATTTGCTGTTGTTGTTGTTGAAGTAACAGTATTAATTTGGGAAAGAATTTACTATGCCTTATAGATTTATTTGACTAGCATCTTCTACAGAGTGAAATAATATCATTTCTCGAATCTCTAATCATTACTTATCTCATTTTCTAATCACGAACGAAAAGATACTATCGTTCAGAAGACAGATATCCTACTGGTACTGGACTATTGATTCATCTAAATTGGCCATAATGTGAAATCTTGTTAACATTACTTGTACAAGGAATAGGTTATTCGGGACTACGTTTGAAAAAATCACACTGAAACCTAGAAACACTAGCGTTATTCTGATTGGCTCTTTGCAGGTTGATGGTATAGTATTTGTTTTACCAAAATGCTGGTTT